ACGACGGAGTTACATTACTATGCATGCGCTTACAAACAGAATCAATTGAACATAAACAGAAACATATAGTTGAAGCCTTCACCACATTAGAAACGTGTAGAATGCAAAATATTGCATAACGATCGTCGTCGGATGAAGGGCTAGGTACGCAATTGCAGGCACTACGCCTGATCTGTCGTCGTGTGGAGGTCCCGAATTGCTGGTGTGCTTTCATGAAATGCTTCGAAAGTCAAGAGCAAAAAATGCAGTTAATATCATCGTGATTTATCGAGGCAGATTTCAGGATGCGTGACTAAGCCCGCCCGTAACCCGTTCATTGTTGCTTAATTCCTGGACGCGGTCAATGTTGGTGGGAAGTTCAACCGTGGATGGGGCCACACCACGCCTCCCGACACCGCCCTGAACGATTGCGAGGACATCGACTGAACAAGTTTCTGTTTCTAGTCAGACTATAGCTTGTTTTGATTCAAGGAAAGGTGCACTTGAAATAAACAAAAAGAAACTCGCCTAGGAAATGATGTTGCCCTTATGCCGACCTCAATAGAGGTGAAACCCACTTCCTCATGTTCCAGATCCTCTTAAGTACTGACAGTCCTATGTTTTCATTTCATCTAGTAGCCATTATTAGAAGAAAAAAGAAAGTTGGATTCCCTTATTTATCAAAGCGAGCGGTTCAAGTAGTAAATTTGGAGTGCACTCTGTCGCGTACCGACAATCGCTACGATCGCCACGATCGCCGCTGCTGTCGCGAAGTATGAACGCTGCCTCGCGAGGGAAGGAAGGTGCAGTTGCACGTGTGGGATTCGAGGGAGTTCGACTTCAGACTGTGGTAGTGGTCTGCAACGCTACATAACACCACGCCAGTATCGCCTCATTGAGATAGTTTGAAACACCTAGGAAGAGGCTATGGCCCAGAGCTTTCAAGCCCTGCGATGCACCAGAACTACATCTCCTTTCACCTATTTAGTTAGCTTCGTTTTGCGAAGAGCAATGTAACAGTTGCGAGATTGTCTAAACAGTTACATACACTCCAGATCCCAGAAATGAGAGGGCGTGGCGACGTTCCTAACTTGAGCTTGGACCTTGACGATATTCATTATTCGTGGGATATTTTCATTTGGGACAGTTGCTATCCTAATGTGAGCTGGACAAAGACACGACTGCTGCCGTCCCGAAAAGAAACCATGTCATTAGAAGTCATCTTCACGGTCGTATAAGATACGCGTCCACGCCCTCCCCGTCTTTTGGATATGAAGTGTTACCATACATTTCACATTGTTTATTTCAATGTCTGTAATACCAACATCGGCCGATGTATAACGCCTACTGTTTCTGGAATGCTTCTCCTTCTCTAAGCTGATATCCAGCCTAAAAGTGCTAACACCCAAACGACGGCGATGGGACTCGGGCCGGCGCGTGCCCAACGCCACGTCAAAAATAGTAATGTTGTCATCATTTAAAGCGAATACGAAAATGGAAGGCGAATATGTTTATTAAATTTTGCCATGAACATGTCGACCGACATATAAGCTTGTGAGATCAGTAGCGGTGACGAAGTTTGAAGCGCATTCGCCTCAACTGGTTGCTGACCACGGGGTCCATGAGACCTGTTTGACAGACTGAGTGGTACTGTAGTGAGCATGGATAAAAGTAGACATAATTGCTCGTTGATTTTTCCATGTTGTAGAAGGCAGCACATGTCGCCATTGACGACCAGCCGTTTGAAGCGTCCGAGTACGGTCTCATCAACCAGTTCCTAAAAGAGTACTGCTATACTTATATTACGCAGGCAAATAACCAACGATTATACCCACACTGACGACGCATCCATTGCTCCTTCAATCTTGAAGTGTGGATCTTCCGTCGGCGTGGTTTTCTTGATGCCAGTCCATGTCCAGAAATAGGGTGGAGTCATTGATGTCACCTCATCCTGCAAGTGATTCTGGATAAATGCCAAGTTCAGATGATGAGTTTGAAAGGAGTCCTAGCCCATTCACTTACCCATTGTGCTTGAGATACCGGAGCAAACAAGGAACCGCCCTTATCCGAACATCTCTTCTCAGCTTGATCATAGCTAAGCTTTTCCATCTCGATATAGAAACACGAGTCCTCAATACGCCTGAAACCATCTGGGCACACCTGAAATGAGAGGAACCCTCGCTGAAAATCCTGGGATAGAGCAGTTCGCGAAGCATAACTGACCTTCTCAGGTGAAATCGGGTAAACTGGTTCTTTATATTCCATGAGATCTTCTGCAGGCATTGGTTCTGCTACAGCTACTGGCTCTTCTATATCTAGCGGATCTTGTGGAGGTACAGATTCCAGTGGTGGTACACTTTGTCCAGCTCCGCATCCGCAACAACAGCCAACCTCGCTGAAAAAAATGAATCAAACCCATTTTCTTCGCAGGAACATCCCAAAAGAGTCAGTAACTTTACTAGGAGCGGGTAGAATGGCTAGATCTGCGCGCAGAGCGCTAGCAAGCGAGGGTTCTAGCCGTTGTGCCCCGGCCTTTAACCTAACCTTTACGGGGAGCCTCGGTTGTTGTTGTTGTTGTTGTAGTTGTGGGATCCTCCTGTACTTCCGTATAGGAGCAGCAACACGATTCAGGGTCTGGAATTGACATTTTTTGTATTTTAAGAACTTTTTCAGTTGTATTTATGATGAAGGCTCCGACTGAATGGTACGAAGTATAATCATTGATTATATCATCTTCAAGGAACTTCCTTGTCATTCCTAGAAAATCATCTTCAAAAATTGCTTCACTAACAAGGCAGTACCCTTTGGTACTGTTCAAGCACCCTCACAAATATCAGATTTCGCTGTTCAGTGCCTCATAATTTCTATATTTTCTAGTTTCAAAATGAAAAATAATTCAAATTCGACGGCTAATCAGTCGTAATGAAATGCTTGGAGCAAATCTCCTCACAATTTCAAGTTAGTGTCAAGGTTTTTTTTCAAATATTTCGAAAACATGAGTTCACGATGCGTGGTATTTTTTAACGACATTTTCGCTCCCTTGTACCACCTAGTCTGATTGCGCTTAAATTTTCTCTATTTCCAATGAATAAAAAAGTTAATTTGAACAACCTCGGGCTGGAGCATACTAGTAACTTTACTATATCCAATATTCACCTGCTCGAGCTGTCTCTGTCGTGGTAGGTGCTTCGGTGGTGGTTGTAGTGGTTGTGAGATCCTCCTGAGGGATGCCACAACCACAGCAGCAGCCACATCCGGACGGATAACTGAGTCCAGGGGCGACCAGAAGAAAACTAACAGAGC